TCAAGGAGAGAAGCAACCTAGAACTAAGGAGAAACTTCCTGACAGTTAGAACAATTAACCAGTGGAACAACCTGCCTCCAGAAGCGGTGAATGCTCCAACACTGGAAGTTTTTAAGAAGAGACTGGACAGCCATTTGTCCGAAATGGTATAGGGTTTCCTGCCTGAGCAGGGAGTTGGACTAGATGACCTCCAAGGTCCATTCCAACTATTATTATTATTATTATTATTATTATTATTATTATTATTATTATTATTATTATTATTATTATTATTATTATTATTATACTTGTACAACTTAGTACGGGTAGTCCTCGACTTAACAGCAGTTTATTCAGTGACGGTTCAAAGTTTCCAATTTCACACTTACAACTATTGCAGCATCCCCATGGTCACATGAACAAAATTCAGATGCTTGACAACTGGTTCATGTTTCTGGTGGTTGCAACCTTCTGACAAGCAAGGATAATGGGGAAGCCAGATTCACTTAACAACTATGTTACTAACTTAGCAACTACAGTGATTCACTTCACAACTCTGGCAAGGAAGGTCATAAAATGGGGCAAAACTCCCTTATAAGTGTGTCATTTAGCAACAGAAACTTTGAGCTCAATTGTGGTCGTAACTTGATGACTACCTATAGGATGTTTTCTTCAATAAGATTTAAAAATGTTACATTTTGGGTTCTTGTCAGAACAAGAACTTACGCTTCTGCTCTACAAAAAACCAATTGTTTGGTAGGTTAAGGAAGAACATGGTGAATTGGACGATGTGATATCCAGTATAGGAGAACTAAAGCTTCTCCCCACCTAGTGATATTTTGCAAAGGGGAAATAACAATCTGAATCTCCTATGAAATAGTACCACAGAGAGGAGAGGGGGAGGGATGGGAAATATAAAGCTTCCTCCCCCAGCAACATCAAAGCTGACGCCAGCCAGAGCATAGAACAACTCAAAGACATAATGCAAGATCGGAAGAGACTTGGCCCATAGAATTGCCAAGAGTGGGACATGACTGGATAACATTATCACCCCCAGAAACTCTAATCATAATTACAGATTTGAGCGCCGTGGTGGTGCAGTGGTTAGAATGCAGTACTGCAGGCAAATTCTGCCCACTGTCAGGAATTTGATCCTGACTGGCTCAAGGTTGACTCAGCCTTCCATCCTTTCGAGGTTGGTAAAATGAGGACTCAGATTGTTGGGGGCAATAGGCTGACTTTGTAAACTGCACAGAGAATGCTGTAAAGCACTATGGGGCGGTATTTAAGTCTAAGTGCTATTGTTATTTGCATTAATGATGAAGACCATCCTAATGACACTGATGTGTTCAACAAAGAGAGCTGTGAAAAGTCAGATGGATACACAAGAAACTATAATGCAATTATACTTCCCAGGCCACCATATATAGAACGGATAGCTGAGAACATCCATCCTGGAAATGACCAGTCCAATAAAGAAGATTCTATTTGTAACCATGAGACAGTTATAATCCATTTTCCCAATCTGTCTCACCTTTATCTTGGATTAGATACTTGAAATAGATATAATTGACTGATTGAGTACTGAAAACTGATAAAAGTTTGCTCATAGTCCAGATTGACTTAAGGATGCATGTTTATATAATACATATGCATATACACACACAATGTGTTATCTATTCTTCTGACTTGGAATAATAAAATAGTACAGTGTAATATTTAGGAATTGGTTTGTTATGCCTCTCCATTAATCCCAAAGAGCGGGTTATTTAAAAATTGGATAATTGTAGTGTTTGGGGATAAAATCTCTTGCTGCCATTATTCAATGTAGTTCAATGAGAGCATGCATACCTAATATTAAGACTTGTAATAGCTATTCATGACTGTGAATTTCTTGACTGCTGCCTAAACTGCCTGTCTCAACAGTGGAAAATCTCTATTCTCCATCTACCAGAGAATGTTAAAACATTTACATCTCACTGAAATCAATAACTAATAAAAGTCATGCAGCTAGCAAAAAATGTAGCAACATTTTTCACGCTTCAGTATTTATTAGGACAAATACTACAAACATATAAAATTGGACAGAACACTGCTTTTATTAGTATTAAAATACAGTAGATCTGTACTTTAAATACAATAGTTTTCAGTAAAAGGTATAAAGTATGTATCTGTGTCTACACATACGCAAACACATTTTTGCTTAGTGCTTGGCACTATCAACACCCCATCAATCAATGCCTTCAAAGTTTTCCAAATGTTGATGAATCTTAATAGAAAGCATTATATTACAAGCACATGTTGCAATCTCTCTGTTGCACTTTTACATCGGTTATGAGAAATTGGAACTCGGCATTTCGAATTTGACCAGAAAAAAAAAATCCACTGAAGGTTTGAATTCTTTTTTCATTTCTCTGCTGTCAAAATGCCAACTGATATGCTTGGGAGGCTGGAAGGTGGACACAGGAATAAGAATATTCATGAAATGTAATACAGTAGTATGTGGGAAACACCTTGGGAGACAGAGGGAAGAGATACAGCCTTGGAAATGGTCAGATAAGAGACAGCAGAGCCCACATCTGAGTAGTATGCAGGGCAAAAGGCTCCAGAGGCACCCCCCCTAAATTCTTGGATGTAAAGATGATGGTGTGAGAATTGTACTTTCAGACTTGCAAGATTCTGTTAATGTAACTTTACAATAAGATAGATTTAGCTTATTTGGTCATGTTTCCTTACTGGTCTACCCGCTAAGGCTGACATCTACAGTGAGCCAAATATTTCTTACATAATGAATTCTCACTGTGAAAATTTGCCAAAGTACTAGAATGTCACCAAGGCAATAGAAGGCAAGGGTAGGAGGCAGAGCCTTCACTGAAGATCAGTTTTGTGATGTCACCTCAAAGTAAAATCTGTGATATCACTATCCTGACTTAATACATGGACAGAATAATACATTAGTTTAACACATAAGACAATTGTAAAATATCCCAGATTATAATCTGCCAGATTATAATGAATGTTCCGATATCATATCTGCCATATCTTTTAGCATCCTACAATGTTATTGTCTCCTAAATTTCCGCAACTCTTAACAGCATCTTTCTTTGCACATGTATCCACCACACCTGAGAAAATAACAAAGAAAAACCAAACCAATCCTATTCCTGTGGGTTCCCTGTCTGAGACTGTTCAAGTTTATTTTATTTATTTATTCTACTTGTACAGCCACACATCTCAGCCAAGTGATTCTGGGCGGCTTATAGAAAACTCTAGAAGAATTAAGAACAATAAAACAGTAAAAACATCCAGAAAATAAATACCTTTAGCAGCCGTGATAGTTAACCAATTAACAGTAAAGCCAAGAAACGGGACCCTTAACACATTATAAGGTCCAGGCCTAGGTATTTAGCCAAGTTTTTAAAAGCTTTGTGAAAAACTAACAGGGTTGGGACCATTCTAATCTCTGAGGGGAAAAATATTCCACAAAGCAGAGGCTACAACCAAGAAGGCCCTTCTTTTAGTTTCCACCAGTTAACACTGCAGCATGCCCAATGTGCTGGACTGAACTGAACAGGCCGAGACACTGGAAAAAGTTCTGGGCCAAGCATGGTCTAAGACAGGGATCTCCAAATTTGGCAACTTTAAGACTCGTGTACTTCAACTCCTAGAATTCCCCAGCAACCATCAAAAGCTATTAAATTGGACACTCAATGCTACCTCAGGATTTGGGCAAATGCCTCCAAATATCAATTGCAAGGATACTATCACAGGTGAGGTGCAGCGAGTAAGGAGGGGAACCTTGAAGGAAACATGGAAGTTATATTATCAAGGCAACAAAGGCAAAGCATATTTTAAGCCCATAACAGAGAGAAAGGGATAGCCAGCTCCCTAATTCAGTGACATGTAAGAAAGAGAAAGAGATATAACACAATCAGACTGGCAAGATTTTGTAAGGATAGCCAGTCGTAATACAAGAAGTTTTAGGTTTCCTCTGGAGTTGATTTCTTGGTCTACCTTGCAGAAATGACAGGTATATCTTCAGTTCCTGCTTTCAAGCACCCAGAGGCATCTGATTCACAAATATAATAAAATTTTGAACTAAGATAGGCTTAAGCTTGATTTACCTGAGCCATTCCTATGCTTCTTTCTGGGGCTCCGATGACAAACAGCATTAGATTGCAGCTGCCCAGGATTTTCATTTTCTAAAAACACTGATGGGACTTATTTAGAAACAGAGGCATTTTTTAAAAAACAAAGTGCTGGTGTTTTGTTTTGCAATATGCAACCTCTATTGTTCTCGATCAGGTGTTTTTAAGATGTAT